AGGTCTTGCTTTTCTTCCTGAGGGGAATGAAAGAATTGGAGAAGAAATCAAAACTGCAAAGGAATATGAGAACAGAGCAAATATCTGAATGAGAAGACCTTCTTCAACAGGTAGGAGATTGAGATATGGAAAGTGTGAAGAGACAGGCACCCTACTGCTCCTGCCACAGCACCCCCACCTGGGCTGGGAATGGAGCAGGGAAGAATGGGTGTTCCTGTAAAGCACATAATTGAGACATAAATCAAGAGCCAGTTCACTGGAGTGAATTAAGTCTGGCTGCTGTGAACAGTGGGGAAGTGAAAACCTTTGGCTGGGTGCCCAAGGGGAGGGAGGAAAGGAGATAAGATATGATATGAGGTAGGTGATGAAAGGCAAGCAGGAGGACAAAAATGTGAACAGGTTAGAGCTGGTAGAACAGTGTGCTCTGGGTCCTACTTTTCCCATTCCAGCAGCTTGGAAGTGTGTGACAGAACTGACAAAAAAGCCTGCAACAAAGAGAAGGAGACACCGAGACCACTTTTCAGTTATAAGCTTTTTCTTTTTTAGAATTCAAGCTTACACAGTTATCTATGCCCACTATATTCATAATTACATTTTAATATCTGCATACAAAAGCTATGTAAAAATTATTTTCTTCCCCCAAATATACAAATTTTCTCTTTAGATAGTTTAAAACATTTGTGATCACAGACTTTTTTTTAATATATTTTAGGCTGAAAAAATATTACCAATCTAGCATAACTCTTAACACTGTTTGCAAAAAAATACATCATCCAAGGTACTTTGTTTTTTACCGTATGGTGTAACGTTTGCCTTACCCTCAGGGCATGAAACTGATATAAAAAACAAACCAAATAAGCAAAACCCACAGACCTCATACACAAAGTAAGAAGTCTTCCCAACCAACTTCACAAAAACAAATAAACAACTCGAACCACCCTTCTCTTAAAAAAAATTACAAATGACTAATTTGATGTATTTATGAGCAAACTAAATCTGAAGAGTGCTAAGGAAGTAGGAAAAAAGAAATTGCAGTATGTCAGCTAGTTCATGCCCTGATACTATCTTTACCAACACTAAATGTGTAATTAAATAAAGTGTCTTTTAATGTTTTACATTGTGCTCAGTAATTTACATAAATTTAATCTACACCCGGGTGCTGATGTAGATTTACATTTGATTGTCTTGTGCATAAACAAGGTTAGCTTTTAAAGAAGGTAAACTGTGCAATGGACAGTCACAAAACATCTTATTACCTGCACAATATTGCTTTTTGAAGGCGACATCAGTCAATGTGGATACACACAAATAATGCATACTCTTTGCATCTGCTAACATCTATACGACACACTAAAACTTTGTGATAAGGCCAAACCTTTTTTTGTTTGTTTTTAATTTTAAAGCAAAAATATACCATAGTAAAAAAATGTGCTCACACCATTTTGAGTCTTTAAGTGGAAAATAAATCTCTATCACACTAGAATAAAATTCTCTCTATAAAATTTTAACACAGATCACTTCATTGCTATATCAAAAGGAAACGTCTGGCAATCATTTCCAGATGATCACAATAACAAGACACGTTCAGAGGTCCTGTCACCTCCTCCTTTGTGAAAAGGTAAATGTGGAACACTTCCCACTGCTCTCACAGTGAGAGGAATACGATCCTTGGTTGTGGATTTTGATTCTGTCAATGAAAAAGGTTTAGCCTTAGGAATGTTGGCTACATCTCAAAACCGTAAGACTGATTTTTATAATTTATGATTCATGCAGCAAGAAGTCAATATGACACATACAGGTTAGAGTTCCATAGCATAAAAATACATCACTAGCAATGACATGCTCTGCTTGTGATCAACAGCCCTGTCTTGGCAGATTTCTGATATAAATGGTCTTTCTGGACAGTTTTTTCCTCTTTCTGATGCCTGCCTCTGAAGAAGCAAGCGGTCTGCTCAGGGATGATTTTGGACCTTGGAGGTCTAACTCTAACATCTACGTTTTGGCAGAACGTAAACAAAAATCCTTATCACGCACTATATATGTCATTATAAATATCATAAGTTAACTGAGATTACATATGGAATGAATATCTAAATGCACGTGTTACTCAGGGCAAAACCATGACAGGTGACAATCAGGTTTGACAGGAAGAATCCTCTAGGTAAGACCCACACGTAGACCACAAAGCAAACAAGAGAGTTCCGTGGCACCATCAGAAAGGAGACTCTGGACTGCACTGGGAAGTGCAGGTTTGCCATCTCACCCAGAGGGCTGGTCACCACGGAGGGTGCTGGCTGCAGTACTGATGTCTGCCACTCAGATGGTCAGTCGGGTGCTTCAGTCCTGCACTGGCTTGAGACCACTGACATTTAAAAGCAAGTACATCTTTGTAGGACCAAGGTCAGTATCCACTGGCAAGAGTCTGCAAAAGCATCCTCATGTGATCTAATTTTGTTCTCATGATCACATAAATCAGGAGTCATACTGAGGGAGCCAATGAAGTCACATAAAGTAAGACTAGTAGGAGATCAGAGGCCATTAGACATCAGTACATCAAATCTGTCAAACTAAGAGCTTGGTCTTAGTTTTCAATTGAGTAATACTACTAATCCCCCTTAGTTAATTAGTGCCAGATTTCAACTTATCTAAAAAGCTAGGAAAGTATGCTGACATACATCCTTTCTGCTTAGAGCACTACTGAACTTGTCAGACTCAGTTGCCTGATCTTAGGCACTTCAGTCCATCTGCAATCACCTAAGAAAGGAGGCCTGATTTTCTGAACCCTGATTCAGCACAACTCCAAACTGCACCAGCATCTTGGGAAGTCAGGCTATTAGTGTGAATGCCTAAACGCACCTTACGTGCCTAAATTCTGACATCCATTTAGGCAGGCAAAAAACATGCACATTTCTCTTTCCTTTGCAAGCCACTGTGGGTATAGATAAAAGCAATGGATCAGCTGTTTTTTTGCTTTCTCTATATGCCATCAGTTCCCTATCAAGCCTACACGAGTACGTGTGAATTCATCACACTGTCTGGCCTCCTGTTCCAAAAAAGTAGAAAGTTTCCGCCTCCTTGTCCCGAAGACATAGTGCTCTACAAGCAATTTGGATAGAGACTGACGATCTTAATGCTTATGCTTCAAGATGGAGTGAACACAGGCCACAACAGAGGTTCTTCAACTTCAGCAAACATTTAAGAACAAATTTCCAATGGTCTGTTTTCCTTGCTACCTGCAAAAAAAAAAAACCCTAAACACTCCACTGTGTTTTATGTTCTCACAAAATTATGGTTACAAACTAAGTGATAACATCAGTGCTCACAACTCATCATAGGTGCATATGATATCAAAGAACAGGGAGAACAAGATTCCACATCCCTGAAAATATAGCCAATAGCACTCCAAATGCTTTATCAATGATGTAGG